CCTCTCCATCCCTTTCCTCCAGACTGTGCAAAACCACTCCAAAAATGGAACGAGGACCACCCAGATGCTCCGTGTGTAAAGGTTGGTGTTGTGACATCAGACACATCCCAAATCTTCTCCATGCTGCAACACCAGGCACACCAACTTGTGTTTGGAGGCACATTTCCACTGCACAGGAATGGGGAAGGAGATCATTTCAGCCCAGCTGTTGTTGGCTCCGGGTCCCTGACAGCCTGGGATGGGTTCTCATCCAAAATGTACCCCATACTGTATTTTAATTAAACTGAACAAACAAACCAATCTCAAAGCCATCCAGCAGAGCTAACTTTGTGTTGAGGCTGAGCTGGACTGTGCACCACTATGAGGAGGGAAACTGGATGCTGGCACAGCTTCTGCTGTCTAAATACTCCCAGCCAAGAGCTGGGATGTACTTTCTTACAATAAAAAGTTGCTCGGGGGGAAAAAAAAAAAAAAAAAAGGGGGAAAAACAACACAACAATCCACAAAGAAAATGGCTCCGGGACTGTTCCCCTCTCACCCGTATTTATTCAAGCTGTCTTCCTCTCTCTGCAAATTTGGCAAACAGAGCCTGGCATCCCAGCTCGGGGGACACCTGTTAAATAAATAGGCTCAGTCTCTAACTGCTGCATTCATGGCAGAGTTTCCTGGTTCCCTTAGGCAGCTAATTTTTGTTGATTATCATACAGTACAGAGGGATTGTTTGTGCCTCTGCCTCCCGTCCCGGCTCTGCCGCTGGTCCCAGGCGTGTCCGCGTGACTCAGGCCCCGCCGCCTGTGCGGAATAAAGGGTGATTTGATTCTATCAGTCCGTGATTTTTTTTTAGTGTGGATCACGAGGCAGGGGGAGGGAGGCAGCCAGGTGGGTTCTTGGGGAGGTGAACTGAGCCCCTGTTGATTTGCTTGGTTTTCCCTCATCGAGGGAGAAACCTGAGAGCTGAAGCAAAGCTTAACTGGGAGCTGAACCAAGGTTTAGCTGGGAGCAGGAGTTGGTGTTGCCTGAGGCAGAGGGACAAACAAGCTCGCTAAGAGGCAACAAATGGGCTGGGAGGCCCTCAGAGAAGGACTGAGCAACATTAGGCATCAAGGGGCTGGATTTTTAGAATTGAGAGCTCCGAGATATGCGGAGGAATTTGAAATTTTGGCTGCCCCATCCCTGGAATTTTTCAAGGCTGAGCAACCTAGTCTAGTGGAAAATATCCCTGTCTATGGCAGGGGGGTTTGGAAGAAGATGATCTTTAAGGTCCCTTCCAACCCAAAACATTTGAGGATTCTATGATTTTATGAATTGAGCTGTCCCAGGACATGGCTTAACACAGGAGCAGATCTGAACAGCTTCACACAACACACAAGGCAACGTGAAGAAGTCCTGGAGCCAGGTCGGCATGGTGCTCTACATCGTCTGGGGTCTATTTCTCCTGAGCTGGGCCTCAAAAGTTGCATATGGTGCTGGGCTGGGATGTTTTCCAAGGAGAACTTATCCCTCACCACCTTCAAATACAGGTAGAGAGAGCTCATGCTCCATTCCTTGACCATATGGTCTGGCTGTCTGGCACAACCTTCTCCAGCAATCCAGAAAGTTGTCTATCCAGAGGTGGTAGGGTTTAAAAGGGAGTTCAGTTTTTGGTGATATTTTGTAATTCACAGGATCACAGGAACATAGAGTGGTTGGAGGAACCTCAAAGATCATCTGGTTCCAAACCCCTGCCAAGGGCAGGGACCTCTACTATTCCAGGTTGCTCCAAGCCCCATCCAACCTGGCCTTGAACACTTCCAGGGATGGGGCAGCCACAGCTTCTCTGGGCAACCTGTGCCACTGTCTTATCACCCTCACAGAGAAGAATTTCTTCCTAATTTCTAATCTAAATCCTCTCTTTTTATTGCCCACCAGCTCTCCTTCGGCTCTGAAGTTGCAGCAATGAACTTCAAAACTCAACAACCAGTGGAGGATGTTGTGTATTCCAGAGAAAAGCAGCATCCAGGACAACCTTATTGCTCTCTACAACTGCCTGAAAGGAAGTTGAAGAGACATGGGGGTCAGTCTCTTTTCCGAGGTAACAAGTGACAGGAAAAGAGGAAATGTCCTTGAGCTGCAGCAGGGGAGGTTTAGATTGGATATTAGGGAAAATTTCTTCACAAGAAAAAAAGGTGATCAGGCATTTGAACAGCCTGCCCAGGTCAATGGTGGAGTCACCATCCCTGGAAGTGTTCAAAAGCCATGTAGATGTGGCTCCTGGGGACACGGTTTAGTGGTGGACTTGGCAGTGCTGCGTTTGACAACAGGACTCAGTAACCTTCAAGGTCTCTTCCAGCCTTAAATGATTTTATGAATGTATTCTGTTTCTTGCTGACTTTAAGAAGTAGATGGAACTGCTCAGTTTGGCTATTTTCTTCTCCCTGTCCTGTAATCTCCATTTCAAATTCAGTTTCTTCCACACCCAAAAGGTGTATCCCAGTGCTACTCTCCGTGTTGTGGACAAGACATAAGTTGCATGTGGAGGTGATATCCTTTGTCAAACCAGGAAATATATAGGAAATGTTGGCAAATCATGTTCACATCCACCCTTTTTGTCAGCCTAGACTGCTCTGCCCTCCTGGGAAGGATCTAGGAAGGGATGGGTTCACTGCAAATATCACAGAACTAAGGGTGGGATTTCTGCCAAGGATTGAACTGAGAGGAGCAGCCCATCTATTTCTGTGCATTTTGGACTCCAGTATGGAATTGTACTCTTAAGGGATTCTCCAAACTGGCTAGAAAGATTCACAGTTTATTTCTGAGCACAGAATAAACTGAGTCTATCTATAGATTTGGCTCAAAACTGGAACTCCCTGGGAATTCCGCTGAAAAATCCCCTCCGTTTTCTTTTCAGAGATAATTATTTTGAGATGGAATGAAACTCTAATCTCCAGTGGAATGGGAACTCTCACACTCAGTTTAGATGAAGTTGTGAAGGGATTCCCTTTAAATCTTTTTCAAGCATGCCTGGAGGTCTCTGAGGAGTCTGAAACCCAATCTGCCAGCTCTGGAAAAGATGGGAACCAGAGTAGTCCTGGAAATCCTGAGTAAAAGCCAAATATGGTGTTGTAGAAAATTGGGGCAAAATTGATTATTTTTTCCCATAGGAAAACTGTTGATATTTCAGAAGCTCAATTTTCTCAGATGAAATAATTCTAGTGAAAATATCAGTTATATACTTATAAATGTTAATTTTTTTTTTTTTTTGTTGCTATTTCTAAGCCAGTGCAGGTTAAATGACAATGACACTGCTATCTCACATACAGAATCATAGAACCTCTTGGGTTGGAAGTGACCTCAAAGACCATCTCATTCCAACCTCCCTGCTGTGGGCAGGGACACCTTCCACTAGAATAGGTTACTCCCAGACCCAACTGGCCTGGAACATTTCCAGGGATGGGGAGTCCAAAACCATTCTGGGCAGAGATAAATATGAAAGATTATGCAATCCCACTCATAACATGATGAAGTCCGGCTTTCCAAAAACAAACTAGTGAAAATTCTTAGCCCTGACATCTGTGATTTCACCCAAAACACAGAGAAAGAGGAAGAAAACTCACTTTTTATGTCCATGTTGAATGAGAGACATTCACCTGATTCCTGCCATGCCCTTATCAAACCGTCCATAAAACAGATATACATTTGGAAACAGGTCTTGCTTAAAATGTTTGGCCATAAAATGCCCAAAGAGAACAATTCCTTTATCTTGTCAAAGAGTGAAGGGTGGTTTGGTTGCAACACAGAAACATGGATGATCCAATTCCCCTCTTCTTTCAGTCTCCTTCATCCCTCCAGCTTTCCACGTCCTTCCTGGATATACCTTCTTAATCTGAGCCCATTGTTATTTATCAGCCTCCCCTACAGTGGGGGACAGCAGAGCAGGTCTGGTGTTGTAGTTGTCTGGTTTTCCCACTCTTTGTTAAAACCTGACCCTGCAATGAGACAAATCTAAACACGTTGCACTGGGATAAACCCTGGCTGTTCAGCCTCAGCTGAGAGGAGCTGGAGCAATCTCCTGTTTTTCTCATGCTCAGGACGGATCAAAAAAGATAAATTCTTAGCTCTAGCTGCCAGACAGAGTCTTAAAATGCCATTACACCCCGGGTCTTTGCTTTGCTTGAGGTCTATCAGTGGGTCAGTTAAGGAGTATCTGAGTAGCAGCTGAAATCCCCTTTATAGAAATATTTGCTGTGCAGCCTGAACAGAAACTCAGGTACCAGGAATTCTTTGCTGTCCAGTTCTCCTTCCCTGCAATTTTGGCTCTTTAATCATTCATTTTCATGGAATCCCAGAATCCCAGAATGATTTGGGTTGGAAGAGACCTGAAAGATCACCTGTTTCCAATGCCCCTTCCGTGGGCAGTGAAAACTGCCTTTTAATTTTAATGGGCATTGTTTGCTTGTTTGTTTTATTTCATTCACATTGATTTTATTATCCATATCAACAAGTTACATACAGTTTTGATTCAACACCTAAAAATATAATATATCCTAATCTGCTTATTTTATTGGTCTCATTTATCTTAATTCTCACCGGGACAATACCTCTTACAAGGATTTTGAAATACAATATATTAATTTTATTTACTGTACACCTGGTAAGTCTGAAGTGTAACCACACTTTTTTTTTTTTTTTTCTTAATCTTATTAGAAGAACAACACATCTGGAGAACTAGAACTTATTAAGTCATCTCTTCATTTTAATATCTGCCACTTTTGCTGTATAGTATATGCAGAATAATTTAAACAGCAGTAATTACCAAGCAAACATCTTTGTGTTGCAATACTTTGCAGCACAGTTTGGCTGCTTCTCCTGAATGAAGAACTGTGGGGTTTGGGGGTGATTAAGTAACTACAGAGGAGCAGAAACCTCATCTTATTACTGGACATGTCCATCATTCAGTAGGGTTGTGTCTCTTTATTGACTTCTTCTGGACCTATTCAGGTTAATCCCAAAGAGTTTCCTGACTCAGGCCTTGGGTTTTTTGAGCGTTTTTGAGCAGGAATATCCCTCCTTCAAAGCCTGAAGATGTTTGGGGAGTTTGTTCACCTGACCTTTCTTCCACATCGCTACAGGGGTGGATGGAGCACTCCAAGTATGTGCTTTACTTCTTCTTGATACCTTTTGAAGCTGGATAGTGAAGGACACTCCATGCATGTGACTGTTGTTAGCACTGGTGTCTTTCCACTGCAGTGTGTGATCACTCTGTGGCCCGGCTGCTCCTTCTTCCACGTGGATGAGTCAAGAAGCTGAAAAATAAGTGGATAACCAGCCTGAGATTCTCTCCTTTCTACACTTTCACAGCACAGCCTAATTTTAGCTGCTGCTTCCACACCCAAAAAGTCGGGATTTTAGATGCAGTGGCTGGTCTGGATCATTTCAATGTGCCCCACAAGGAGAGGGGGGCAGAGGACACATTTCCAAATAGATGGGAGGAGAAGGCACAATGGAAACAAAGAGGTCTTCCAGCATCTACAGGGAACTACAAGAGGGACTTTTCACACAGTCATGGAGTGACAGGACATGGGGCAACGGCCTCAAGGTGACAGAGGGCAGGTTTACATTAGATGCTAGAAAAATTCTTCCCTGTGAGGGTGGCAAGGCCCTGGCACAGCTTACCCAGAGAAGTTGTGGGACCCCCATCCCTGGAAGTGTCCAAAGACACTTTAGGTTGGGCTTGGTTTAACCTAGTCTAGTGGAAGGTGTCCCTGCCCTTGGCAGGGGATTGGAATGAGATGCTCTTTAAGGTCCCTTCCAACCCAAACCATTCTATGACTGGGTTTGAGCTGCGTGGAGTGAGACCCTGAGGAGTGGGATGTTAAATCTAAACCTCTTCCAGGAAATGGGGCATCAACAACTTTCCTGGACAACCTGTGCCAGTGCCTCACCGCCCTCACAGGGAAGAATTCCTTCCTAATATCCATGCTCCCTCTTCAAAGTGTTTAGATCTCATTGGGGAAACCCCACAATTGCCCATTTCTGGTCTTGTTTGGGTTTTTCTGTTGGCCAAAACTGCCAGCAACCTCACAGAAGTCGAGTCTGTCACCTGAAATCCCTCTTGTTCTGTAATGATCTGGCCTTGGGCAACAGAGGAGGACAAGACCAGCTTCCTTCAGCCCCTCTTTCCTGCCATCATCCCAAGGAGCAGCTCACACGTCAGGAATGTTTCCATGGTTCCCGTGTCTGGAACAGACTGTGTGTGGTTCCATCCCATGCATTACTCATGACAGACACTGATGTTGGGGTGATTCAGGTGGGCTTTGGGAACTGGGAGTGATTATCTGAAATTATTTTATTCTTTTTTTTTTTCCCCCTGTTCCAACATACATTTTGAAGTGGAAAGTCGCAGAGAGCAGATGAAGCATGAAAGGAAAAAAAAAGTGTTGCTCTCAAGAGCAGGAAAAAAACGATGGGGAGGGGTGAAATACTTGCAACTTGAAGGTTTTTTCCATGCTCAGGTGGAAAACTCTGCCTGAAACAATCCTGTGTCCAAGAAGTGCTCCTCATCCTTTGCATGATTAGGTGGAAATGGAGGACAAAAATTACTTTCTAAAATCTGCTGGAAATGGAAAGATTTTTTTTTTCCCCCCAATAAGTTTTTCAAAAATATGCCTGAACATGCATTACATCTCTTAAATAAGTAATTTTACAGGTCACCTCCTGGTTTGGGGGCTTTTTGAGGGTTGGTTTTTTTTTCATTTTTGTTTGTTTGGGGGTTTTTTTGGGTTATTTGGTTTGTTTTGGTTGATTGACTGGGGAGTTTTAACCTTTTTTTCTTTTGCTTTTTTTCTGGGGTTGGCTGATGTTGCTTCTTTTCCCTCAACTGTAGGAACTTTGTCAATAAATGGTTTTTATAGGACTTGTCAGGGGGTCCAGACCGTGAACTCTTTCCTTCTTTAAACATCAGCGCAAAAAAGATCTTTGAAAAAACGTTTTTGAGAGAAAGTTTCAAGTAGTTACAATTTTTTTTTTCTTAAAATAAAACTCCAAACATCAAAAAACCAAAAAGACTTACCTACAATCCCTCCCCACCTGCTTAAGGGTGTTTTCAGCAAAGGGTCATCATTTGGTTTGGGTTGGAAGGGACATTAAAGACCATTGAGTTCCAACCCCCTGCCATGAGCAGGGACACCTTACACTAGACCAAGATGCTCCAAGCCTTGTCCAGCCTGGCCTAGAAGACTTCCAGGGATGGGACATCCACAGTTTCTCTGGGAAAGTTGTGCCAGGGCCTCCCCACCCTCACAGGAAAGAATTTCTTCCTAAAAATATAATAGTTAAATAATGTAATAATGTAAACTAATAAAACAATAATAACGTAAAATCTAATCTAAAATATATCCATAAGAGATGTCTGATTTGCATTTTGAAGGTTCTTATACATGTTGCCATTAAAGATGGATGTGGTTTGTTGATGTTTTTGGGAATGGAGGGTGGCAGGTTGAGATACACCTGCAGGTTGCACGCGGAGCACAGACACCAAACTCCACTTGGTCCTCAGCAATCCAGTATTTCTTTTATGTGGCCTGAGGAGAGTCCTCCTTTTCTTCTCCCAGTTAGTAGGAAAAAAATACTCTTCTCTGAGTGAGGCTGGAGCTTTATGCACTGATTTTGGTACCATACACCAAACACTAAAGTTGTCACATTTCCTCCCAGTCTGGACGTGGCTGGACACGTGAGTGCATCAAAGCAGAAACCAAGATGGAAAGAGAGCTCCTTTCCTGCTGCATCTCCTGATCTGAGTGGCACCACGTGGTCTGTAATGACCATCTGTTGATTATTTCTCTCCTGAAGATTGATGGATGTGATTCATGGCCCTTTCAAAACAGGGCTGCTCCCTGACAGAGCTGCGAGAGCCTCTGTGAGCGCAGCAGGGAATCAAAGAGTGACAAATAGATCCAGATCTTCTATTTTTTTTTTTTTTTGGAGGCCCTTCGTGCAGTCTTACCAAAATCCCTGGACTCTTAGTGGGGTCCTGTGGGAGATTTCCCTCTATTTTTTTTTTTTTTTTGAGCTATTCACGTGACAAATAGTTGCACGCCAGTTTTTGCTGCTGGGGTTGGCAGGACTTGACCAAGACCCTGGGATAAGGGTAGCTTTATATTAAATATTATAAAGAAATTTTTGACTGTGAGGGTGGGGAGGCACTGGAAGACTTTGCTAAGAGAAGCTGTGGCTGCCCCATCCCTGGAAGTGTTTAAGCCAAGGTTGGGTGAGGCTCTGAGCAACTTGGTCTAATGGAAGGTGTCCCTGCCCATGGCAGAGGGGTGGAACTGGACAGTCTCTAAGGTCTCTTTCAATGCAAACCATGCTCAGGTTCTAAGGAAAGAGAAAGCCAGATTTCCTATAGCAATCCCAGAAGCTTCCTATGCCCAGAATCTTGGTAAAGTGGGAGAAAAATCCCCTCCTGCTGGAATCTGGTCTGAGCCCTTCATTGAGTGCTCTGAGCTGGGACTCCCAGGCAGCAGCTTCCCCTCTGAGACCCCTCAGAGCCTTCCCTTGGGATTTTATGCAAGAGATTTCGACAACATTTCTCCTATTTCTAAAACAGAAACAATAGTTTCTTAAATCACTGAAATGTTACAAAGGCAAAACTGCAAAACAAAACTGAAAGATGAAATTGGAAAGGTAAAACCAAGAAGTGGAGTTGAAGGATTGTCTTCCTTAAGAAAAAAACCCACTAAACAACACAAACAAGCAAACAAACAAACCAAAAAAGAAATCCAGGAAAAAAATATCACAAGTTAATTGCTGCTGGAAGTAACTTTTTTGCAGCTCAGGCACATGATGTCTCTGTTTACTCCCAGGATGGGTGGAGGATAAGCAACAGCCGGATAATCTGGAAATTAGAGAAAGAAAAGTCAACAAGTTGAAATGATGTATTGTAGTCATTAGTAACAGCACTGCAACATCCCAGCTTTCAGCACATTTCCAAATGCCCGTTTTCTTATGATAAGGATAATTTTCCTACCTGTTCTCCCCAGCCCCTTTTCAACAGTCATGCTGTTCTACTTCCCCTGGGGTGGCTCTTACATTACTGCTGAGGAGGGAACAATATGAAGATAACACAGGCTTTTACAGAAACAAATCTCACAGGCACGTTTTCCCTGTGGAAGATGCTCCAACCATTACGTGCCTCAGGCAAAGCTTTCCACTGACCTGCTGTGGAGAACTGTTCTGGAATCCCTCCACCAAAAGGAGAGGGGCCCTGAAACACAGAATCAAAGGACAGGGCAGGTTGGAAGGGACCACGGTGGGTTGGAAGGGACCACAGTGTGTCATCTGGTCCAACCTCCCTGCTCAAGCATCCCACAGCACGTGGCACAGGACTGTGTCCAGACATTTCTGGAATATTCCCAGTGAGGGAGACTCCACAATCTCTCTGGGCAGCCAGTTTAGGGGTCACTTGAGGGAAAGCTTGGTTGTACCTTGCTTTTGGCACCCACACTTAGCTCACTTACGAGCTTTGCAGGCAGGTCTGCTACCAGGAGAAGCTTTATCTAAACCTCTGGTGGCATCATCAAGCAGAAGACATGATGCACATTTCTTCCTTCAAGGATTTCCCAGCCTGAGAAAGCCATAATATCTCTTACTCAAGGGAGTAAATTTGTAGGGACTAAATTTATACATAATACATGGAAAGAATTTCTCCTTGCCTTGGTTGGAGTTTGGAGCATTCAGATTTTCTCTGTAGCACTCTCTGACGTGGAGAGCTAAAAAGACACTTTAGTGGAGACACCCAGTGTGATCTGGTACTTCACACACATTGGAATGAGCTGCAAGAAATAACTAAAATAAAATAGAATTAGAAGGAACACTTGGACCAGAAAGGATCATACCCCAGCTCTCTGCCCAAGGGAGCTGTGGAGGGGCAGTGAATTTTGTTCACATGCAGGGAAAGGGCCTCAATTTGCTCCAGGGGAGGTTTAAATTGGATAACAGGAAGAAATTCTCCACTGAAAAGGTGGTCAAGTATTCCAAATACATGTAGATGTGGTGCTTAGGGACGTGGTTTAGTAATGGACCTGGCAGTGTTGGACCTGATGATCTTGGAGGTCTTTTCCAACCCTAATAATTCTATTAATCTACAAAATTACCACACCTTGGTGAAGTCTCTCCCTGCCTTGCTGCTGCCCCTGTGTTTCATCTCACCTTCCCTTGTGGATCAGCCCCCACTTGCAGCTTCCTGATGCCACCCACGAAGAGTTTTGGCATTTTCTCACTGTGCTGGATTGCTGGGCAAGAAAACATTCGGTGGGATTCAGTGGCATCAGATCCAGAGAGCTGCACACAAGGAAAACAACAGTTCCAACCCTGCGTGCGCAGCGCTGGGCTCTGAGCTGATTATTGCTACCCAGGAATGGCATTTGAGTCTTGTAATGAACAGTTGAATGAAATTATGAGCTCATTGCTCTGTAGCAATCAGAAGAGGAAATTGAATGTTAAGGATTTATTAAGGAGGGAATAGAAAACCAAACAGAAATCATCGTGATGCCACGGAACAAGCCCATTTTGGACCCGCGTCTTGAACGTTGTGTGTGGTGCTTGTCCTCCCCTCCCAAAAGGCTTTAAAAGCCTTGGGAAAGGGCTCAGAGAAGATGCCAGAAGGATGGGAAGGAACAGCTGCAGCAGAAGAGAAAAGGATTAAATAGATGTGCGGACTTCAGTCCTCAAAAAGACATTTTGGGGAGGGGGGTTTGCCAGGCTAAAATGGTGATGGGTGTGGAAGGAGGGACAGGGAAAGGAGTAGGTTCTTCCCAGGCAGTGTGGGGTTGAGCTGTGGCATTCCTTGCCATGGGACAGTGCTGTTTCCAGGGAAAAACTCATGGGAAAAAAAAAACCCTACTGAGGTTTATTAATACAATGTGCAGTAGCAGAGTCTGCCTGCCTCGCTTCTGTGCTCTGTAACCACTCTCAGTCCAGACATGGGCTGAAATTGTTTTTTTGATCAGACACAGTATTTTTATTTTAATGTACTTTTATTTAAGGTTTTCATGCTGAATTCTCAAAGATTTATACAGTCACAGCTGACTTTATTAGGTAGGAAAGGAGAGGAAAGTCTCATTGAAGCCACAAAAATTATTTATTTGGTAAACAGCAGGAAACAGAAATCCCACAGAAAAGTGGGAAGACAGAACTCCATAGATAGCTTCTAAAAATGCAGTTATTGCTATGAGAGGACATCATCCAATCTATGGATGATAAATAGGGAGAGAGGAGTTGATGAGAATGTCAG